TATATATATATATATATATATATATATATATATATATATAGAGAGAGAGAGAGAGAGAGAGAGAGAGAGGGGGGGGGGATGTTTTAACTAAAAATATTGTAATTGTTATAAATCATACAAATCAATCATAACTGTTCATTTAGTTTAATAATATCTTGTTTCATAACTTGATTGTTTCCTATTCCAAAGTCATTAATTATCGTGTTGAATGAATCTTATTATCTTCTATAAATATCTTAATTACTTCTTGAGATAAGTGTTGAATGGACCTTATGTTTTGTATGGTTTTTAACAATTACATTGCTTCTATCTGAAACCGCGTATACATACATACATGTATGTATTTATGTATGTATGTGTGTGTGTGTGTTTTTTTAGTCAAAGAAATTGAGAGAAAATGTCAAAAATTAATTATAGAAGTTTATGATATTCAGCAAAATTTCCTTTTTAGTAAGAAATATTATACATATATGGTAATAATACAAACAATCATTCATCGGAGGGAGCTTGGATTTCCAGTTAGGCAGATAGATTGGTGCTCCTTTAAAACATTATTGAGTGATTTATGTTTTTGTTCTCTGATCTATGATTGTTTTTTGGTTTTCATCCCTATAATTCATAATGTACGCTGGTGGTCCAAATTTCATATTTCGGATCTCAATTGGTCTGTCCACTTAACATGGTTAAAGAAGGCTCTGTTAAGGCAGTCATATGCCCCTCAGGTGAGAGGCATTTTTGTCTTTTTATGCCTAAATTTAGAGCGAATTACATTTTTTGGTCCCTTGGCCATGGTTGCTTTTAGGTTTTCGTTCCTATAGTTTGTAGAGCACTGGTAGTCCATTTCTCATGTTTACAATCCCAAATGGTCCATCCTCGACATTGTTTCTTTGGCGAACCCCATCCTCTATGTGAAAACTCTTGTTCTTGGACATGGGTTTTCACCTTTTTATCTTTGTGGTGGTGTGGTTCAATGTTTTAGATTGAGAAGGATAGAAGGGTTTCAAGAACATGGGTTTTACAAAAGGGGTTTTCAATAATGGAGGGCAGATAGGTTTCAAGAACAGGAATTTTCACGAAGGTGGAGTTGTTTGCTGGAGAAATGATGTTGGGGCAGGGACCATTTGGGCTTCACAAAACACGAAAAATTGGAGTACTAATGTACTTTACGAATTGTATGTATGAAAACATAAAAATGCCATAGACAAGGACGTAAATGTAATTCACTCTAATTTTAGGCATGAAAAGACGAAAACACCCTCACGTGAGGGATGCACGATTTACTTAATGGACAAGGTCGTTCTTTAGAATGTTAAATGTGTGCTTTTGAACAAGATAATTTTATATCGTATCGTTTAAGGTCTTTCATCGATGAATGTAAAACTCTAGCTCACCTTAGTGCCTCTCGAAGTTTTGTTAGAAGACAAAGTGATACGCTTCATCATCGCCACTGAAATTTATATATATATATCTCCGTTATCTCATTTTACAATGTATCAAAAGCATCAGGTGTAACAAGACCTCAAAAAAGATTGCAATGTCCCTGTTAATAAAACCTCTTTATTATTTTAAATAATGTAATTGACTCTTTATATATTTTATGATAAGCATATACTATATATAAAAAATGAATAGAAAGCTTGATGAAGGAGTATAGTCCAAAATAAAACGCGGCACGCGTATAGGTTTTACTACATGTCACACCTCCTCCTGACACGTGGTGCACCTTTTCCTTACGCGTATAGGTTTCACTAAATACTATAAATACCCGCACACATTTTCTTTAACTAATTTTTCATCAAAATTTTATCTAAAAATGAAAAAAAATAACTAAAGTAAATTGAAATTAAATATTCAAAAAAATATAATATTGTAAAATGATTTTAATTTGTAATTTAGAAAAATTTCAAAAATACGTTTAAAATAAATACTTTGATACAAATATAAAGAATTAATAATACAATTCTTTTTTGAATTAATAAAAAATGTTTTTTTTTCCTAAAATAAGAATTAAAGTCATATATTATATTTTAAGGTTGAATTTTGGGTTGAGGTGACGGATATTTGAAATCTGGCGGCAACAAAAAGAGGCCTACACACACGTGGCCGTAGGTTTTGGTCGGTTACTTTTGTCACCTCAACATCCTTTAATCGTTATTATATATATATTTTGTAATGTCAATTATATCTCGTTTAAACCATAATGATGTTTGATTGGTTTAAGTTTAGTTCTAAAGGTTAAAAATATCAAGAGATTTTATGTTCAAATCCAAATAGGAATAAAAATTCTCTTATGACAACGGATGTTCAAACGTGGTGACTCCGGAATATCTGCAAAAAATGTGATCGTACTGAAATTAGTCGACTCGCATAACGGATTAGATATCCAGGTTAATAAAAAAAAATTATATCTCGTTTATTATATTTTCATATTCTTGACTTGAAAATCATTTTTTTATAATTCTTTTTACCTATCAAAATTAAATCACGTTTTTAACAGTGAGGGAGGGTTCCATTTTTGTTTTGCTACTAAATATTCCATCTTAGTAGAAGAAAATGGATCCTTAGTTAACGGATTTTTTTTAACTATGGTTAGTGTAAGGGATCAAAAGTGAAGTAAAATGGTGACAAGAGCGATTAAAATTTTAACTAGTTTAAAAGAGGGAAGAGAGTTACTAATTGGTGGTAACCATAAGGACCAAAAGTGTAATTTACTGTTTTATTTAAGATTTACATATGAATCTTAAGCTAATTCATACTCTTGGGTTTATATTGTAAATTGATTCACGTATAAGTTATGATTAATATTCGCAAAAGAATATGAATCATAACTTGTACACGAATCTTAAACTGATTAAGAATCTTTGTTATAAGTTTTTAAATTGATTCACATACAACTTATGATTAAGATTCACATATGAATCTATGTTATGGTTCACATATTCATATATGAAGCAATATAAATTTAATTATCATCATCATCATCATCATCATCATCATCTGATAGTGCTTTGTCGAGAACTATTCTGTTTAGTTACATTTCAAATGACAAATGAAGAACATCGATATCCGTGTTCACATATGAGATTTAGGTTAATTTGTAGATTGTAAAATTGTTAATAATTTCAAGATAGAAAATTGGATAAAAGATCGATGATCGTTAATATCAAAATAATGTTACAGAAAATATAAAAAATAAATTAAGGTATTTTTTTCTTTTCCGTTGTTATTTTAAATTAGTGGAAAAAAACTTGGAAATAGAAACCTTAAACTAGTAAATTAAGATCGAATTTTCATTATTAAAAATTTATGGCTTTTCATTTGAACACCACACACATGCACCATGTACTTTGGTTCGCATATGAAAGAAACGTAGAATGGTACCTAGTTCACCTATTAACAAGTTTAAATTGTGCTTATGAACAATATTCATGTGTTTTACTTCTAAACATTGTTCACCTTTTTCGAAATAATTGGTAATCTGTACATATATTGTTTGCATTACGTGTATGTGGTAATTTGATTCACATATGAACACAATTCTTTTTTTTAAATATTGAAACGAGATAATTCACCTATGAACAAGTGTTCACTCATGTATTAGAACATTGTTCATTGTATCACATTCTCTGAGCTTAATCACTAATGGTCTTGAAATCCCACCAAAATTCTTAATTCGATTAAGTGTATCTTCACCTACAATGACAAGAATCATGGAATAATAGTAAATACACTTTACGTTAAATAGTAACGTATATCACATGCAATAATTATCCGGCTATTAGGTTTAAATACGTTTCTATTGGTGTCTTATTCAGACATTTGATTAAATACAGATTAATAATTAATAATCACGAGTAACATGACTACGTCAATACATGAATATTGAATAGGTTTACATTCAACCTAAATAATAAAATTAACAAAATCACGTTAGCTTTTACATACAAAACATTACATATGGTATGTACCAAAGTGTCTTGCTTTAATACCCATAAATACATAGTTTTCATTGTACACATTAATTTAATATCAGAACCATACATTACGAATGTAAAAAGTAAGTCTACATTAACGTATGTAAAAAAGAAACATGTAAATAACGATGCGTTCAAATGAAAAAAGTAAATATAAAATTTTATTTTTAAATAATATTTTTATTCGTTTTTCTTTAATTGGTCATCATTATAAAAAAGTTGGTAAATATTATTAATTTAAGTAAAATAAAACAAAAATGGTAAAAGTAAATACGTGTCATTTTAATAATATATTATATAGAATATATCTATATATATATATATATATATTGTGTTTGTATATATATATATATATATATACAATTTGGAGGTGGAGAGGAGAGGGAGGAGGGAGAGGGGACCCTACAAAATATAAAAAGGTGTTTTTGGTTCATAGGGTTTGTGTTTGAAAGTTTCAGCCCAAATTCGTCAATCAATTTCCGACAAAAAAATTTAAGAAATCTAGAGAGAGAAAGAGACAGAGAAAGTAGAGGGGGAGACGACTCGTGGAGTGTTGAAGACGCTGATGCGTGGAAGCAGGTGCCACAACAATGACCATATCGCTCTCGAACAATTTTATGCTGCTACTGATCATCATCCTCATATCCAAATGCCCTTTTGATTTCTAACCCTTTCTCAACAATCCATCACATTCATATCTGGATTTTTGACACCAACGTCTTATCTTCTCACGTAAGGAACCTTTGCATTTCTCTTTCCAATCAATCCGCATTGCGATCCCTTTGAATTGCTTTGACTTTGTCACGATTTGACAGATGGAGGTGGCTAAATTGTTATACATAGTGGTGGAGGATGATTTCGGTGGCAATGACCAAAGGAGAAGGAATGAGGATTTGACATTTAGGTACACACGTCATGTTCTTCAGAGCGCCTTGCAGTTGATGGGGTGTAAAGCACGTCATGCCTTCAAGGTTTCACCTATTTCATTTCTTCTTACAATTTGTTTCAATCCAAATTGATACTTCCTTCCTGTTAACTAGCTAAACTCGATTATTACAACCAAAAAGTTCAAGACAAATTTGGATCTTCATGAAATCCTAGTATTGTGATCCTTAGATCTTATACATTTTTGACAGAATAAAGGGTTTTCTTTTCAAGAAATTGACTTTTGGCCTCACGAGTGCTTCACTATTTTGTTACTTTAGGCTTTGTTAACCCTTGAAATGAATGTCTTGGTAACGAATTTACTTGTATTATTTGGCATATTTAGTTACTTTAGCCAAAAATTGCTCACCCAACCTTAAGTTTGGACTGTACATTGCTTTTGAGCACTAAAACTCTGTTCTAGAAACATGCTCATGATTCCATGGTTTAGTATATATTTTGTTGAACCTAAGTTGAATGCTTCTCTTAGAAATTAAGATTGGATCATCTCAGGAGATGGTTTTTTGGATGTTCCACTATTCTTTAGACCATTTTGTAGCAAGATACCATCGAAAAGATTCACTTGTTTGATCAAACTGCGTTTGATATGTTCATTGAATGACTTTATGCAATAATTAGGCCTGCACTGAATACAATCTGCTTCTTCTACCAGATTAGCCAAAGGGTTTTTGAAATCATGAGAACCGAATGCTTGGGTGACACTTTGGCTGCCATGGGTGTAATTAAAACGGGAAAGGATTTCTTAAAAGTTCATCCTGGGAAAGAGAATAGTTGCGTCACCGATGGTCGATCAGATAAGGAAGGAAGAAGCAGAAACAACGTAGTAGAGAATGATGATAAAATAAGGAGCATACCTTTTGAATCTTACAAAAAGCGCACTACAGTTATTGTCAAACGGAAGAGGTTCATAGATGTCGTGTGTGACGCTCTGGCTGAATACAAGTATGTTGGTACCAATCAGAGGGCTGATTTGGTTTTAGCTTGCAGGTACTTTTATCATCCTTTATCTTCTTTATTTAGTCGAGTATGCTATCCAATTATGAACATAAGTGATGTCAACTTTCCCTTTTCATGGTAGTGGCTCCTTTCCTTGTATTTGTGGCTGTATAAGGATATTATGTTGTGGTTGGAGTATTTGGTGATAATTGCTGTCCCTACATCTCTGTCTTAAGGTTCCTTACAAGCAAAGGAAATCATGTGAAAGATTTCAGTATCGCAACATAGCATTCCTTGAGATATCCTGCACCACAATTTCTCTTCACATTATCTTGTGCTATCATGAATATGACTTTTGAGTCTCTCTAGTTTTGTTGTTCAGCATAAAATCTACTTGGAAGTATGCTATGACTTCATGTTGTTTTCTGGAAGCTTTTCTTTTCAAATTAAGCTCAAGATTCCCCTGTCGACTTTTAAACGTTAAACCTAATGCTTCTAATATTCAAAGTTGATGAGCTTTTAATATTTTTGTACGACAAAGATTTCCTACTGCATTACTTTTTTATCAACTAACATATCATCAATCTATCTATAGTCAGAAATTAAATAATTTCATATCAATTGTGAGGTTAAACGTAGATTGTTTGACACAAAGAAGTCAAAAAGGGATACTTAAAGTGGAACAGAAAGAATATGATTTTTCTAATGGTTGTTTGAGAGGGGAAACATGATGAAACTAGGATGATGCTTGTCAGAGACAAGAGTTTCAATATGCTAAGAATATAGTTAATCAGTGCATGTTAGTTCGTTATTTTATACTTGTTATAGCAGTGTTCCAAATTTGGATAGGAAGAACATAGCAAGATGTCAGCAATTCTTGCATGCATCATCTTTTAGCATTCCTTTGTATTATTGTACATGCATAACCAACTAGTTTGGGTATGACTGTTTCCATTGTCGACTCTTTCTTGAATACATCTTGAAATATGAGCCATTTTTCCTTCTTCAGAGGAGCAACATTTCTGTTGGTTGGTTTTTATCAGATTGGCAGAGGGTTAGTTGATTCATATCAGCTATACCCTTCTCCTTGATCAGACATTAACAATTTGTCAAATCTTTAACATCTTTCTTCGCTTAATTTGTTTGTGTTCGAGCATGCACGTGTGTCTGCGTTTAAATATTATTACATGTGGGAACGGGTGGGTAACTCCCCTTCACTATTTAAGATTTAAATACCCCTTGCTTTTTTTTTTTCCAGAATCAGGGAAAGAAAGGAATCTGTGACGGTGCTACTGTGCGGTACCAGTGGATGTGGCAAATCTACATTGTCTGCTTTGCTGGTAAATCCGTCTTAAGGCTTTCTTTGTGTCGTATCGATGAGTTCTTAGACACGGATTTATATTCTTCACTACTGCTAAACTAATCTTTCCAGAAATACACTCTTGGTTCATTGCAAGATTCTTAATTTGATACATGTTGATGGTACACAGATAGTGTAGGAGATGACGATTGATGTCTTTATGACTCCTTTTATGTGTAGCAAAACACCATAAATCTTTCATACTAACTCATGACCGTTGGATCTGATACACTGCTGCACAGTTGCACCTGAATTTGAACAAGAGGATGTAACAAGAAAACCGAAATTCAGAAACCAATTTGTTATTTTAATACTTGATGATGATGATAGATTTTGTTATATAGATGTTGAACTGAACCTGCAGGCTAGCAGGTTAGGGATCACAACTGTTATATCTACAGACTCCATTCGGCACATGATGAGGAGCTTTGTTGATGAAAAGCAAAATCCCCTCCTCTGGTCTTCTACTTACCATGCCGGAGAACATCTAGATCCAGTGGCTGTTTCAGAAGCCAAGGCCAAGAGAAAAGCTAAGAAACAAGGAAGTGTTTCACCTCAATCACAATTCAAGACTAGTGCTTCATTTGATGCAACAGCAGTACCCCCAGCAGCACCTAAGGAGGGATCTGCATCATCTGCTACAATTGACCTCATTAGCCCTAAGCAAATGGCAATCGAGGGCTTTAAGGCACAAAGTGAGATGGTCATTGATAGTCTTGATCGACTCATCACAGCATGGGAAGAGCGCAAAGAATCAGTCGTCGTGGAGGGTGTTCACTTGAGCCTTAACTTTGTGGTATATATAGTAACAAAGTTGCAAGACTGTCCTTTTAACATTTTTCCAGTTATGTTAATGTGAAGCCTCTGATGCCAATTTTGATTCAAAATGCAGATGGGGTTAATGAAGAAACATCCATCAATTATACCATTCATGATATACATTACAAATGAGGACAAACACATGGAAAGATTTGCAGTTCGCGCAAAGTACATGACTTTAGATCCTGCCAAGAATAAGTATGTAAAGTACATAAGAAACATCAGAACAATCCAAGAGTACCTTTGCAATCGAGCAGACAAGCATCTGGTGCCGAAAGTAAATAATACCAATGTTGATAAGAGTGTTGCTGCGATCCATGCCACGGTTTTCAGCTGCTTAAGAAGACGTGAAACCGGGGAGCAGCTTTACGACCCAACCACTAACACAGTTTTTCTAGTTGATGAGGAGTATAGAAACCAGTGTGTGGCTAACTCACTTAGCTCCAAGGGAATGTTTCAACTGATTCAAAGGCAAGGTTCTTCACGGAATTTGATGGCTCTTCTAAACGACGATGGGTCTGTAGCAAAGGCGTGGCCTGTTCATTCTGTAGATGCTAATGGCAAGCCGATTGTAGGACATCCTGCTGAGGATGGTATAGGGATGCCAATGTATGGGCCATTGCAGATCGGAAAGGCTGAACCTGTTAATCTGCAATTTGGCAACTTCGGAATCAGTGCTTGGCAAACCGACCTTGGTTGCACTAGCCGTGCTAGTAGCGTTGACGAGTCAAAAGGCGAGCTTACCGACAATGGTAGCAGATATCATTCATCATGCTGTAGCTCACCTAAGGTCTCTGATGGACCTGCTAAAGAGGTACATTTTATTTCATCAAAAGTAAACCAAAACCTTTCTCGTTTCTAGTGTGTTTTCTGACTAGTGTACAACTTTCAGTTGAAGGAGGAGCAGTCGGTTTATGGCAGCGATGAAGAGGTCGATGATCACCTCGAGGTAGATAGTGATGAAGATCTTAGTGATGATGCCAAAGAACATATGCATGAAGAGGTACCCAAACAATATTTTACGTGATTGTCTTTTGTCTGTTGATTTTGGTTCTTATTGATTCAATAATCTGCAGATGGAAGGTTCAGTGGACGAGGAATCAACCAAATCAGACGAGGAGTATGACGATCTTGCAATGCAGGATATTCAAGAAAATGGTTACTTCACTGATGATGAATTCGACCCTAACCATAATAATCTTCTCTCCCTCGGCCAACATGATACAGTTGCCAACCACCATGGGGACAAGTACAATCGGAATCTAGACCGGTTCTTGAGAGCCAAAAGCGAGCCAGGCCCAGACTCGGTGCAACCCAATCCAGGTATGATCAAGGAGAGAAGGCTCCTGTCCTCCGGAAGCTTCAAAGTCAAAAGACGATCTCACAGCATTTCCAGCTTTGGTAAGGATGGACCACTGAGCCCAACCCTCTCGAGGGTTGCTACTACATTATCTCGTGATCTTCCATAACTTCCGTTTTATGATCTTTGTTAACTTGGAACTCGAGTGGTTTTGTGTGGGAAGGAAGGATATTTAAACTATCACTTCCATGTTGTAAATAAATGAAGCTTCTTGACTAGAGGGTGGTGGTTGTACTAGCATGAGTTCTTCAATTTTGGATCTTTTATTTAAATTGATTGAAAAACTCATACAATCCGAGTCTTGAGAACGAGAAATCTGCAGGCTGTAAACATACCATACACTTAACCATTCATCAAATACCGTATAAAGCTCGTTTCAGGAGTCGCACCACATTTCACCACGATGCTCAAAAGTATGGTTGCTTCTTCAACACGATCCAACTCAAATAAACCATCGATGACCATGTTATACAAACGCACGTCCCCAAATAATCCTTTCTTCTCCATTGTCGAAAGCAGTCCAATAGCATCACCAAACTTCCCCTGTTTACAGCATCCATGGATCAAATCCTCAAAAACACCATGCCCCAAAGCTATCTCCTTTCTCTGCATCATATCTGCTAACTCCTTTGCTGCTTCTATCTCCCCAATCCCACAAATCCCACTAACCATGATTCGAAATGTCTCTGCATTTGGAGCACCACCTCTCTCAAGCATTTTATCAAACACTTGGAATGCACTCTCCATTTTCCCTAATTTACAGTACTTAAGAATTATCGAATTCCACAAATAGGTCTCCACTTTCAAATCTTTATCATACATCTCCTTTATCATTCTTTCAGCATCCCCAATCTTCCCGCTGCTCAAAAACCCATCTAGTAAGAACTTGTAGGTTTTCAAATTAAGCTCCACCCCTTCTTTCTCCATCAACAGCAATACCAAATCCAACTCTTCGAATTTCCATCTTTTGCAACATGCATCAATCAAAGTATTGAAGGTGATTACATTAGGTTTAATACTCTTGCACACAGACTCTTCAACTAATTCTCTGGCCCTTGTGATCTCCCCGTTTTTACACAATCCATCCACCATAACTGTTAAAGAATAAACTGAAACATCGATTCCAGATTCCACCATGTTGTAAAAAAACACTAACCCTAACCCTAAATGTTCGCATCTATTGAGTGCAATCAAGTAAACACAACACGTCCTCTCATCGATTTCAATCCCATTGTCTCTCATATAACTGAAAGTCTCAAAAGCCGCAATGAATTTCCCACTATCGGAATAAACTTTTAGCATCAAATTGAACATTTTTGACAAAACTCTAGGATGAAAATGTTGACTATCAGCAAAAGAAACTACATCTGAAAAGTGGTACCTGAAATTTCCATCATTTGTTAATGAAGTTATAAGACTCTCGGCATCTTCAAACTTCCTTGACTTGATCGCCCTGCAAATTAGTGTTACATGGTGTTGAATTTGGATCTTGAAGGGGATTAAAGATTGGTTTTCTGAGATGACGTTGAAGAAGGACAGGCATTTGGAAGTCTTTATACGTGGGTCTGAGAGAATCAATTCGACTATGTCGGGAGTAAGGGTAGATAACACAGCGGCGGGGGGTTTAGTGGTGGTTGTTTGGGTGGCGGAGGACGAGATGACGAGTTCAGCAATTTTCCGGTAAGGGGATTGGATGGCGAGGGTGGTGATTGGTAGGTTGCTAAATTTTTTTACGGTTTTGAGGTTTTGGAGGATTGTTGGGATCGACATATCTTGTTTGGTAGGTTTGCATAGGATGCGTTGAGTTGTTAAAGTTTGGAGATTTCCGAGTTGGGCCATATATCGTTTGGGCTGGACCACATCTCAATGTTCAAGTAGACCGGAGTGTCACTTGTTTGTTAAGCTATCGGATCTGAAGTTTTATTTCATTTTTGATTGACAAAGAGATGGTTTTAAAATCTAAAGTCTGAATTAATATAATTATTTGTTTTTATAAACTTATGAACATGTATAATTGTTTATTTCATCCTTAAAAACCTCATGTAGTTGAATTATAAAACCATTAATACATTTTAATTTTAGATTATATTACCATCTATTTTTGACAAATTCAAAAATTTAGCTAAAATACAACAACCGATTCAAACGCAATAGAAAACGTGAGCAAAGCCTTGTAACAATTAAAATCAATCTTCATTTTGCATTAATTGCATCACAATTTCTTCTATTAGACTAGACATATATGTTTATTTAATTTGATATTGGAACTATTAATTTCATTCATTTAATTATGTATTAGAAAAATATTACGTATGCCCGCCCCAGCCGTTTTTTTCTCCAACCATAGACATTGTCGACCACCATGGATTCATCGGTTTCTTCATTTCCCCATCCTCTTCTCTGGTGCTTCTACAACTCCGATCTCCATTGTCAAACATATACCATATCCTAACCCTCGTTTCCCTTCGACATACGTATACAAACCAGGCATAGGTGTCTTTAAATTTGTCAACAAATTAAAACCAAAACGGATCAATGACTTTGTTACACATACACACCATTAGAGCACAACTCAAGAAATACCTTCAATAATGAAAGTGAAACCACCAGTAAAAAGCAATTTGATGCAGTAATGATGATATAATCTTTGAAAACCGAAATCAAACAAGAAATGTACTATTTTCCATAAATAAATAAGAAAAAGTGTAGAGTACATGTTCAAATGATGGGTGGATAGCAATGCAGAATTAAATTAACACATGTTCATGGTTCCCTACCATTCAGAGGAGCATGTAGATCCTGCAACAAATGTATTTCTTAAAACATGGACCATTTATAAAATAAGCTAACTGTATAAGTCGTCATCATCAGCTCCTCCGGCAGAAGCAGCAAAGGGATCAGATGCAGCAGCACCCCCACCGGATGTTGCTTCCGAGAAACGGAATTCAGATCCAAACCCTCGAGACTGTTGCAACGTCTGAGCAAATGCCTGGTATTTGCGAATGTCTGCATCACTCACACTTCTACGTGCATACTTCATCGATTCCTCAAAATGAGCAGCCTTGATTTCCGCCACTTCATCCTCGTCCTCATCCATCGAGTCAGGATTCTCACTTCTCTTTCTTTCCCTCTCTATGTCCTGCACCCATATAATAATCAACATACCATTATATATAATTAATCCTCAAATCCACAGAAACATTAAAAACGAGCATGTAAATGATTGAAACTTACTTTCTCGATGTTCTCTCTTATTGCATACTTGCAGGCCCGTTGGCATATTTCTGTAATATCAGCCCCACTAAAGCCTTGAGTATACTTGGCAAGAGCTCTCAAATCAACATCCTTAGAAACAGGGGATTTCCTCATTGCAGCCTTAAAAATCTGGTAACGTGAATCCTCATCTGGTAACGGGATATAGATCAGTTGATCAAGACGTCCTGGACGTAGTAATGCAGGATCAATGATATCAGGTCTATTGGTCGCTCCAATTATGAAAACAGTCTTTTTCGCAGACATTCCATCCATTTCAGTCAATAGCTGATTCAGAACTCGATCAGCAGCCCCGCCTGCATCTCCAGAACTGCTTCCCCTCTGCAATAATTACAGTAGCTTTTCTTGTAAGCCTAGCCCAGATATAGACAATCTGTCCATTTAGACTGTCGATATCTTGTTTTATTCATTTTTGTGTTGGAAGGGAAACGCAAATATGATGATATATGAATTTCCAATCTTGTAAGTCATGATTACAAAGTGTATATATGGATGCGTGTTTATTGAAGAGGAGAGAGCAAACTTGCAAATATACCTGAGTTGCAATGGAGTCGAGTTCATCAAAGAATAAAACACACGGTGCAGATCCTCTGGCTTTGTCAAAAATTTCACGAACATTGGCTTCACTTTCCCCAAACCACATTGTTAGTAATTCAGGTCCTTTAATACTAATGAAGTTTGCTTGACATTCATTTGCGATAGCCTTGGCCAAAAGTGTCTTCCCACATCCAGGAGGGCCATAGAAAAGAACTCCTTTGGACGGTGACATGCCAAATTTCTCAAATTTCTCTGGATGCTCCACGGGATATTGAACAGTCTGTTGTATTTTCGAGTGAAAACAGAGTTTTAGAAACAATGGAAGAGTATGACAACACAATATAAATCAAACTACTGCAGTCATTTCCATTACCTCTTGAAGCTCGCGCTTAACATTCTCAAGGCCTCCAATATCATCCCAGCTACAATTCGGAACCTCAACAACCTGATTCCACCAAAAGTGATGATTAAACTATATGTTAAAATGTTTCCTCTAAATGAGCAGCTTGAAAGAATATGCTACAAACTATATACCGTCTCACGCAAAGCAGATGGATTGCTTGTCCCAAGAGCCGTCTGGAAATGTTCATTGGAGACTGCCATGGAATTTAGTATCTCAGCATCAATAGATTCATCTTCCAAGTCAATAACATCCATTTTTTCTCTAATGCATTGAAGCGCAGCTTCAGTGCAAAGAGCAGCAAGATCAGCACCAACATAACCATGTGTTTCTTTAGCTATCCTTTCCAAATCAACCTGCAATTATAATTTGTTATTGGTGATCAACTAAAAGTTTATGGCTAACACAGGAGCCTTTTCACAAAGAATGCCTTACATCATCAGAAAGCTTCATGTTCTTTGTGTGGATACGAAGAACCTCAAGACGTCCAACTTCATCTGGCACACCAATGTCAATTTCCCTATCGAACCTACCAAACCTTCTGAGAGCAGGATCGATGCTGTTTGGGCGATTTGTAGCCCCAATTACAATAACATGGGCACGCGATTTCAATCCGTCCATAAGTGTCAAGAGCTGTGATACAATCCTCCTTTCAACTTCACCATTGGTCTTCTCTCGCTTAGGAGCTATTGAATCTATCTCATCAATGAAAATAATTGATGGGGCATTCTTCTCAGCCTCCTCAAATGCCTTCCTGAGATTGCTTTCACTCTCTCCAGCCAATTTTGACATAATTTCTGGTCCATTGATGCAAAAAAAGAAAGCTCCTGTTTCATTAGCAACAGCCCTGGCTATCAGTGTCTTTCCTGAACCAGGAGGTCCATAGAGCAAAATTCCTTTAGGGGGCTTTACTCCAATAGACTTGAAAAGTTGTGGGTGCCTTAATGGTAATTCCACCAATTCACGAATCTGCGCCATTTGTTTCCTGACACCACCTACATCATCATAGCCAACCTCATCCAGCCTATCCTCATCATCCCTCTTAATGGGTTCGCCCTCACAAAAGATTTCAGTGTCTGGAGCAACAACACAGTATTCCCCAGGATCAGTTTCAATTACCTTGAATTCCACACTTCTCATCCCTCCTCGAACAAGGAAATGATCTCCTTTCCTTACAGGTCTATATGCCTCCAAGAAGTAGGCTGCAACAATGGCAATAAGTCCCAATTAGAGAGCAAATTCTGTAAAAACATGGAACCATAGCAGAAAAAGGATATAGCAAGTTTAACTGTTACGAACTCGATATCTTAAACTATCAATCAGCATGTAATGAGACTGATGAAAACACAAATAGGCAACTAAATGCATCTAGCCTAATGACTAAATCAGAAATCTTTCACAAATTCAGGTGGAACTTTTTACTTCTTAAAACTAGAACATTTGTCCTCTTCTGCAGGCAAGTGCAGATGCTAATATTCTACCACATTGTACTGCAAGTCCAGCTCTTGGTCTAGTCAAAAACCCTAATTATTTTTAATCACATATATATATAAGAGAGAGAGTGTGTGTGTGTGTGTGTTAAAACTGCTAAAAGAACTCATTACAAGCTAGCTCTTAATTATTTAGTCAAAATTTACTTTAAATCTGCATAGCAGCAGTCAAGAACACGTAAACAACACTCAAGGGAATGGTTGGTTGAAGGATATGGGATACAAGGAACAGGAATGAAATTCGATATTGTTGGTTGGTTTGGTATAATGAAATGGGACATTGCTGAATTTTGGGTAATGGGTCATTACTATGCAAATGGGGGGAATGAAAATCATTCACAAGCATTCCTGTTCCCATTAACATTCCTATTCCTATTCCCATTCCCTAGTATCAACCAAGCATCCCCTAATATCATCACCAACCCAAAAAAATGGACTAGCATCATTTTTCACCGTTTGTTGGCTACAACCTACAGGCTACAGCTACCCGCATATGAATGTTACTGGCAGAACTAAGGCACCAATCTTCTATGCTATAGAAGTTGAGTATAGCCCTGCATACATAATACCAATCATGGCAGCTAAGCTGGAATCAATGTCCCCACCAGTGTCTTATTAAGGGTTGTTTAGTCCGGAAATCAAATGATAGTGTTCTCAGAGTACAAATCACACACAAAAACTTACGTTTCAAATATGCATCAAACAAGTCCCCCGTAACACCTTCGATGGTGTCATCCAGAGGAAGAACATGAATACGCTTTCCATACTTGACATCTGGGCACTGGTGCACAGACACAACATCACCAAGCCGAATCCTCAAGTTTGTCCTAATAACCTTGTTCATTCTAATCTTCGGCTCATCACATGTTTCATCAGCAAGTGCGATACAGACTGTATCTCTCCTTTTCTTGCCCTGTAGACAAAATACCAAATTAGGGGAAAAACTAGCTGACTCTTACAAAAGGTGTCATGACAGACACAATTTATACCCATCAGCATAAACACTACAAGTAAACAAATAAAAATTTACCATCTGAACATAATGTGATGGGTTTGCCTTTTATGGCGTAATCAAATACAATGAACCCATTAGAGATCACCCAGTAGCACACAATCTCCATCAAGACAAAGGTACATGAGTCAAGCCGTTAAGGCTATATTAGGTTGTGGGATTAAAATGCTGCTGAATTTCAAGAGGTTGCAGTGTATGCTAAGGAGGCTACACTGCAGAAGAGTATGATGTTGACAAAGTTGAAAGGTGTGGGAAACGATATGCTGAGGAGAGCTGAGACAAAGACAGAACCGAGAGGCGGGGTTGAGCTGGAAACAGAAAGAAGATAGAGCAGTGGAGCTCCACCGTTTTCAACATGACCTTGCCTAGTGCAGGATGAAGCATAAGGCCACGCTTATGCCCTCATTCACACTATATAGGATTGGCAATGCTAGTGCAAGCTTCACTCAAGATTAAAGTCGGGCATGATCTGAAGGAATGAGGAACAACTTCTAGTGAAGTGGGCAGAACAGAGAACACAGAAAAAGAAGACATCAACAAAGAAGTATTGACTACATCAGATTTGGCAGCGAGTACGGCCAAAGTAAACCGAGGGAGCAGTTCAGAGGAGTCTTCCGATGCTCGGAACCAACCCAACTCTTTTCTTTAATAAAAGAATTATAGTAGTTTCCTTTATTTTCTCCCATCGTATTTCCTCAAACAATTTACAGCTTTCTTACTTTCTGCAGCTGTTTATCTTTCTGTTAGACACTTATATTTTAACTTGCAATGACAGAAGTTATAATATCCTTTTACTGTGTTCTACTTCCAGCAAATGTAGGCTAAACTGCTAAAATCCCTTTGGTTGGATACGAACGTACTTTTTTGAAAGACACTACAACAAAAGAAGTGACGGGTGTAACTGGCCCTCCTTTGCTGTTTGTTCAAGATTACTCACTGTCACACCCACTGCAGACTAGCTATCACCCGTGAGGTGTCATGGTCAACTTAGACATTTAACTAGAATGAACATATGCATTTACCTTGCATAGCATAAGAACCTGGTAATTAAGTACAAGACATAAACATATGATTGCTGCAGCATGACAAGCTGTGACCTTATACTTTAGACAGTTTTAATATATACTGATTCTGATAATCCAATCAGTACTAAAGCTTATGTTAGCTGTTGACTCTGCTAATCAAAGACATATGTTGCAGCGTCTAACCTATAGCTGACAGAAAGTTGGTGCCATGTGTCTGTATGTGAGTATGACTTGCAAAAATGGATAAATTCGATACTGAATTATCTTACATTATTCAAGTCAAATATGCATTGAAACAATGTTTTGTCGGACAAAAAAGTTTGCATGATTGAACCTGAAAAAATCACCATTCAAATTTTAATGGGAATGAAGCAAGGCTGCAGCAGCAAACTGTGACATTTCTGCACTGTCATGAAGATCAATAGAAATTTAATATCCAATTGTTTTAAATTATTAAATCATTTTGTCTTATTGAAATTGCTAACTAATTGACCTTACAGTCTTACACTGTCACTTGTTAACTGACTCTTTGTGGGTATGATATCTGGTCTTGACCACTTTAGTATTAGTTGATGATGGTGCTAGAATGTATATACTTGTGCGGCTTTGTACTTCCAATCACATATTCACAGTTATCCAAACAAAAATATTCATACGCATAAATCCTGAGCTAAATCTATCCAGATGGAGATGTAAAACAGTTGAGATGAATTCTTAACAATAAACAACCAATGCTTAGGGTTGCTTACTTATGGCTGCCATTTCCAGTTATCAAACTATAGATTCATAGGAAGTAGGCAGGAACTTGACACCTGAAAATTGTCAAGGACAATCTATTTCTTTAAAAAGTAAAAACAGGTGGCTAGAAGACTTGTTTTTCTAATCGTCAAACTTTTGATCATTCACAATTTCCTATTTCGATTGATAAAATATAAGGTCTCATAGAGTTGTCTACCCTCCAACACTAGTATCACTATTATTCACGCTAACCAGAATCACTGAGTTAGAAATAGATAACTGCACTTAACTATGGATGTCAAGCATTTATACGGATTCGGAACTTCAGTAAATGTCGTTAACCACACTGAAAATAGCAAATTCAAGACAAAGCCTTGTCGAAAAAGCATTTGCAGAGCACTGGATTGATCATGGAATGGAACAGCAATTGTTTCCTTCTCCAAATCCTAATATATTATGTTCTATCAACCTCGGGTTTGAGGAATATCTACGATGATCTAAGATCAATATAGTCAACTAGATATACCATAATTTTATATACAATCACTATCAGTAGTACACACAATAAAAAATCAAGAAACCGTAGGTTTCTAAACCGACATTAAATACTGAAGAGCAAAACCTTAATCAGTATGGTATCCCCACGGAAAAGCTGCAATTTTTCCATCGTATTAGGGTGCATAGCGACGACGGAGTTATCGTCATTGACAGCTTCGTCAACAACAAGCCGATTCGGAGACTTCTTGCGCTCCAAGATAGCAGTTGAAAAGTCCTTTTTCGGCGGCGGCGGACCTTTCCTGAAAGAATTCAATCAAGAACACGATAATCAGAGTCCAATTGAGATCAAATCTTGAAGATGAAACCGAAAACTGCATCGGATCAAAAACCGATAGATCAGTAAACAAAAACGTACGGGTCGGAAGAAGAAGATTCCGGCTGGTTGCTCATTGCAGGAGACGACGGATTGGATTTTCCGATTATGAGAAAAAATGGGATGGAGAAGGAGATGAAAGATCCGAGAGTGTCTTGGGTAACAATTTATGGAGTGACCTACCCACCCACCTACCGTGTGGAACTGGGTTTCTTCTCCTTACTAACCGGGTTTTTGTTTGTTTTCTGATTAGAAATATTAACCTCACGTGGTCAAATTAGGGATGCTTCCATTTTGTTGGAGTACTTGGTTAATAAATTAATTTATCATCAAAGGGTCCATCGGTAATCGTTGAATGGTTTGGTAAAGAATGATTAAGTGGTTATAATGGTTAAGAGGCTTTAATGATATAGTGCAAAATGAAATATAATTTTTTGGTAATTGTGTACAATGAAATTAGGGCTTTTAATGGTTAAGAGTGATTAATGATACAAAATCATTCAGAAGATTTTAGAATCATTACGAGTCAGACTTTTTTTTAATCAAACAAGATTAACCTCTTAACTGTTAAGAGGTTGCTTCTTAATGAAACTATTAGGGGCTGTCTGGTAGTTGCTGAATGGTTGGGTGCAGAATAGTTAAGTGATCAGAATTGTTAAGAGAATCAGAATGGTTAAGTACTAAATGAAATATGAATGTTTGGTAATTGTTCTCTGAATGACGACAAATTACCATTTTAACCTTCATGATGATACATTATAATCTTTAGCCAACATGACATAAATCAAAGTTCAAGGTGGATGAACATAATGTTAACATATAGGCAAAAATCCCCAATTGTTTTTAAGATATCGATCATGAGGGCAAGCAGATAACTATTGTTTATCATCTATAAATGATTATTCTACAAACTATGCAAACAGATGGTTTCAACARATGGCAAAYACAATTGGTGGTTTCAATCGGTCAAACAGATGCAAGCGATGGTTTAAATCGATGGAAACAGATGGTTTAAATCGATGGAAACAGATGGTTTCAAGCAGAAAATGCAAACAGATGGTTTCAAATGAGATGGTTTCAGTCAATGTTTATGAATCGAACTGAAACAAATCGTTTGAATACAAACAAATGGAAAACGAGATGAGCAGTTTGGTTTCAATTGATGGTCTCAATCGGTGGTTTCAACCAGAAAATGTGATAGGGTTCAATCGATGCAAACTTATGGTTTCAATATGTGGTTTCAGTCGATGGTAATGAATCGAACAGAAACAAATCGTTTGAACTGAACAGATGTAGGGAAGCGAGGATATCGATTTTGGGGAAATACCTGAAGCGAGGATATCGGTTTTCATCTTAAATGGATTCCTGGAGAAGGAGACGGATGGAGGCTATGGAGGCTACCGGAGACGGGGACGGTGGAGGCTACCAGCAACGGAGATGGAGACGGTGGAGGCTACCGGCGATGGAGACAGTGGAGGCAACCGTGGAAGCTGTGAAGGCGACCATGGAATGGAAGCGACATGCGCGAAGTGAGCGGTTGGAAGAGAGGGGTGGGAAGGGTAAACCTGGAACAAGAGATATCTGAATCATTTAGTGGAGACCTAGACACTAAATCATTAAGAGGTTTTTGTAACCATTAAAAGCCTCATTTTTTTTGCCAAACAGTCCATACCTCTTACCGATTAAGAGGTGTCCTCTTTATGTCACCATTAAGAGCCAAACAAACAGCCCCTTAATTGCTACACGTTTTTTAAAAATTTATCACTAAATTGTTTTAAAATTTGATCAAACGTTGAATTTGATTTGATATTTAATTTATAAAATGATAATTAAATATCTATCAAACATGAAATGAAATGAGAAGTAAAAAAAAATGTTTGTAACGTTATTAAATGAATAGTGTACGTGTGTGGGACCAGTCTAGAGATGTTAGTCATGAGAGTTGTGTGGTCGTATCTCTGGACATCAATTAACCTAAATAGTGTATTTGTACTTTTGTAAGAACATATGAATGCCAATACAAATAATTGAATAGTTAATGTGTATTGTATCCTATGATATGGAAATCATTTATTCAAGTTAGAGAGTGTTTATGTGGTTAGTGGGGCCAATTAAACACCAGTACAACTAATTTGTGATACACATGACATGATGAGTTCAAATATGACTCAGTCCCCCTTATGGTATTATATTCACATTGCAAGTATGTAACTCTTACATATAAACAATATGCATAGTTCTTTTTCTAAAAGTGTTCCAAATAACATGTGTTTGATGTGTCATCACGTATGCATCATATGTGAACTTATGTTAATTTCTTAAATACTTGATTATATATATTTACATATAAGTTACAAAAATGCTAAGTCTATCATGTTTTACAAAAAAAAAAAAATTTAATTGTCATGTTTTGATCAGTATTTTCTAAAACATTATTCACCACGAAAACCATAAACCTACTAATCTTATTAACTATCCAATGCCATATATCCGATGAAACTGCAATATCGATAACAATAAAGTCAAGAACTAGGTGATATATCCAAGACAATTTTCATGTTTTGTATGATCATCATGGTATATACGTATTATGTAGGGCATTTAATATATAGGCTATATCCTCCAAAGCCCAGCCCAATTTTTGGCCTTTTTCCCATGGATCGACCGATCTTAAATGATTGTTCGGCAGTTGTCGAATAATTTGATGCAGAATGATTATGAGACTCTCATGATATAGTGTAAATGAAATATAATTATTGATAATTGTTTACAATAAAATTAGGACGTTTAATGATCAAGAGAGACATAAAATACAAAATCATTCAAATGATTTTAGAATCATTAAGAGAGACAAACTTTCTTTTTGTCAAACAATATTTACTTCTTTAACGATTTAGGTGTTTTCTCTAAATAGAACCAAACGATTTGAGACTTCTTAATGATAGGGCTGTTTGTTTATATCTTAATAATACCATTAAGAGGTAAGGGTTTGATTCGATCATACATTTTCTTGTTTGGATAGGTTTTTAAAAAAGTCTCAATGAAAACTTTAGCTCTGAATACGCCCTTCATACGATTCAGACGTGATATTTTTCCAGGTTTGCCCWCCCTTTTTCTCTAATCGTCGTTCCTGGCTCTCTCGATTTCTCCAAGCGACGCTCTGTTCTTCTCGGTCGGCTGTAGGAATCGCCAGCAACCCTCTGTTCTATCATTCTCTTCTTCTTCATCAGTCACCATTATCGCCTTCTTCTCAGTCACCAATCGATTCACAGGTAAGACCTCTCAATTTCATAACTTCGCTCCCTACATTGTTGCTTATCGGTCTCAACCCTTCTTTTGAATCATAAACCCTAGACAACACCAAATATAAGAAAAATAGAATCTGAGCAATTTGCTATTTTCCCCTTTTGTATCACTGTAATATTTTTCTTATTTGATATCACAATGGTCAGTTAAGTGGTTTGGGCTTCTAAGAGAAAGGAGCGAAGAGCAGATGCTCGTGATGGGTTAGGAATACATGGAACATATGAGATGGCTTGTCAGTAAGATTAGTGATGTCTTGTTTTAATATAGGGATGAACTGCATATGGCTTGAAGTACCATAGTCTGCATGCCACTCATGGTGATAACACATCAGGAGGGACTAAATGTTTTCTCAAAAATCATGTGTGAACATAACTGACCTGCAAAGGGTCAAGTTGCAAATGAATATCTGATAGTCAGGCTCTGCAACTCCTACATTTAGGTAGTTCATATCAACTACATTATCGCCAAAATCATATGCCAAAAGAAAAACAAACTTGCATCAGTTGAGAAATTCAATAGTAGGTTTAGATATGCACAAGTGGCCGGCAGTACAAATGGTCGAAGTCAATCATCAATAATGTAAGTTTGGAACCTTCATATATCGGTACGACATAATCTACATATTCAAGTATTATATCTCTATAGATGATTCCTCCWGGATCACATCCAATACCACTAGCACCCCTACCAAAATAAAACACAATCAAGAAGCCAGACGCAGATCTGAACTCCAAACTGTATATTTTCCTAGATATATACTTAATACCATAAGCATCCACTTCTTCCAATGCAAGGTTGTAAATTAACTAAACAACCTGACTCCCCATTCGTAGGAAATAAATAAAGCAAGATACAGTATGGTTTGCAAGGCTTTTCTTTCACGCTAGACCCAATTATGATGTTCCAAAAAATATCCCAATGTTTATTTCTTATAATCAAACGGTGCGACCTTTGAAAAAAAATTGGTCTATCCCTGCTACTACAAAGTACCATACTTTTATGGATACAGAACTTGCTCTGAACCAACTCATAAAGGCATGTGCAATGCATTCATGGGAGGCAGAGTATATGTCAAATTGTTTACCAAGTATCACCTCTTCCAAATTGATAGTGGAAAGACTTGTAGACTTTTAACTATGCTCGCATGGTAAAGTCTAAATCCTAGGTTATTGCTCATAGACATAGTCATATAAGTGTCACTGCTTTATGTATTTGAGATACTAGGTTGTGGTTGTATGCTTCAAACAGCAGAAACTCACTTGATCATCTTAATTTGTTGCCATCATATTAATTATTTTCTATTTTTCATTTATAAATTTCCTTCAGAACTGTTGTCAAACGTTAATTTTCATTAAACACAAGAATAGGGGTAAAATGGTAATTTTATGTCATTTAGACTGTTCATTCAGAACAGTTTCCAAACAACCTTTTTCTATCTGACACTAAATCATACAGAGTCTCTAAATCATCCTGACTACTTAATCATTCTGCACTAAACCATTCAGCAACTGCCAACCAGTCCAAGTGATAAATGTCGATTCGGTCGGATCTAAACATGTTTGGCAGATTCTTTTGATGCATCTGAATGATAAAATATATCTGATTCGCTCAATCATCCATCCTTCACCATACCATTCAGATCCTGTCTGCCCTTTTCCTTATCGTTCCTCTCTCCCTCGTACCGCCAAACCGTTGCCGGTCTGTATCGCCGGACCATCTACTGGTATGCTGCAGCATCCTCTCTCCACCATAAGCAGAAAGGTAAAACCCTGTTAATTTCTTCTTCCATGCCCTATTATTTTCTTGTTGATATCTCATATCACTTGATCCCATATTTTATATGCTCTGTAATTTTATATGCAATATAATCAGTTTTCTTGCTAATATCTCGGCCTTTTTCTTGTTGAGGACCTCTTCTTCTATGCCTTGTTAATTTATTGGTTCCTAAACTTAACTTGTAAATACAACATCGTCGGTATTCTTTTTCATCAAAATTTACTTCAAAGTTCGTCTACTACCTAGTCGATGAAATGCTTAAGAGAACTTGTATGTTGTCTTGCTCATATGGTGTTTGCTACTGATCTATTGTTGTTCTAATGCTGATGTATGTGGTTGGGGTTGTAAAGCTAAGGTTTTTGAGAGGAACCAGAAGTATGTTTGTTATGTGTATGCTTGCATATGCATCACATCAGATGGAGTTGGTTGCCACCTGCACATAGTTTGAAAAAGAATATATCATCAACAGAGTGGAAAGCAAACCATTCACAATTTCATATAGTGCTCGACTACATAGATCAAACCATTCACGATATAGAGTTTGTCCTAACACACACCATATCCCTCTTTCCCACTATACTGGTCTATGAGAAGCTTTGTAATAGTCAACCTATGATGACAAGTGTTTTATAATATATGTTATATATACAAAAACAAATTTTGACTCTTTGGTTGACATGTATGTTCTTCAATTGGGTCATTGAGTATGACTACGCTTTTATGTGCAAATGGGGTTGTTTTCTCTTGGGTTAAAGATTTGAAGCCTATTTTTGTCTATGTTATATAATTTCATTATAATTGAATCTTCTGTGTTAAAGATTTGCTTATGCGTCTCTCTCTAATGTGGATTCGGCCTTGTTGGTTGTCTATGTTCGAAATTGTTGAATTCTAGCTGCACATTTTAGATTGTAAGAAGCAATGAAATAGGACGTATTGGCAATTTGCTTTTGTATTGTATTAGTTTGGTAAGTCAAAAGACTCCACAAGGTTGTAAAATTGGCTTTGGGAGTTCTAAACACATGAAATTGTAAATGGTTGATTGCTTGTGAACATTACTCTCCACCAGGAATTGATTGAGTCACTGAAATTGCCAGGAGAGCTGCCTATTTATTTGTATTCCTATTATCCTATATATACTCTAGGAAGAACAGTAATAAGAAGATTAAAGAGAATGATATTTCAAACATTATACTCCATGTAGAATGAAAATAAAATTTTGTATGTATGCACTTACCAAACAATTATATTTTATTCGGTACTAAATCATACAAAGGGTTAATGGTAATTTTCAATCATTCAGGCTATTATTTCAGAGCATTTACTAAACAATCATTTTTCACTTTGCACTAAATCATAAGGAGTCTCTTAATCATTGTGACCACTTAGTCATTTTGCACCAAATCATTCAGACTCTCTTAATCATTCTGACCAGACCACTTAGTCATTCTATACCAAATCATTCAACATCTGTCAAACATTCCCTTCATCTTCCCCACCTGTTTTATTCAAGCCAAGAACACACAGCCAAAGAGCTTCTATTAACAGGATTATTGTTTGAACCAATTTACTACTCGATACCTGCCATTATCTGAAGAATCTTGACGTTTACATTGAACCCTAGATGAGTATGAGTTTACATCTGCCATCGAGGGGTTAAGGTTTGTGTTTCCACCGATTTTAGTTTGATTTCTTACTGATTTCGATACTAATCCAACTATAATCAACGAATGATTTTTTTGAGATATTTGTTGAGGCCTAAACGCATTCTAAGAGTGAGTTCCCATCCGCTGTTAATTCATATTCTGTCGCATTTGGTTACGAAAAAATAATAATTATCATGCTGTCGCTAAAACACATGTACTAATTTATCTCTTCTTAGCTTCACTCAGTATCTCGGCTCTCCACTCTATTGGTGCACTACTGCCTACCGACTGTGACTGTGTCCCACCGGAGAAGCTTTCTCTGGCTACTGCATCTCCTCGACTAATTTGCTCTTAGTTATTGGATACCCTCTTTAATTTGTAAGTCTCCTTTCTATATCCAATGTTCTTGATTTAAATTAATTTAGTTACAGAACATTCGATTATCTTATCCAAGTTTCTTAATCTGAATTAATTTAGTCATAGAACATTCGACTATCTTGCTGTATTCTGTTTCTCTGTACTAGATTGTTAATATGGTTTGTTTCTTGTTAAACATGATTGATTTAGATCATTAGGGTTTTGTTTGAAACCGTTTAATTTTGGGGTATAGTTGAAATTTGACATCCAATTCTTTTATATTGGTTTCATAGTTTGTTATGTGGATCTATTTGAATTATTTGAGGTTTGTTTTTTCAAAATTACCCCTTAATACCTCTGAAGTCTGATTCATTCAGATGTTTGGGAATTAAGATCGTTTGTTTTATTTTTAAAATAAGAGCTTAAAAGTTCTAAATGTCTACTGAAATTTTAAGTGGTAAATGTATCCCTTGATACCTCTTAATCCTAATCCGCCCTCTATCACATGGTTCATATTTTGGGGGCTGAAAGAGATTTGTAAGCAAACACTATTCATCTTTTATACTTTTGTAAAAAACTATTTCTTTTATATTTTTGCACTAGTTTGACTGATTCAGATTTCAGAATTCAGACGTAAAAAGAGTGTTTGTCGAGGGGGTGAGAAGGAGGGGTAGACCGAGGAGGATGTGAAATGAGCAATTGAGGTTGGACATGGCGGCCTTAGACATTTCCGAGTACTTGACTTCTTATAGATGTACTTGGAGATGGACGATAGGATAGCAGGCTAGATATGAGTATATGTAACCTGTTTAGTTGAGCAGAAGGGAGTTGGAGAGTTCTTTTATGTTTTTGGGTAGTGGGCTGGCAGTTTAGGCTAGGGATTGTTTATTTCTCCAGGTTTTCCTTTTCTTGCCTTCCGTATGTTTTAATTGCACCTTATCGTTACTTTTTCTTATTTATTTTTCTCGTGTCTCACTCACCTCATGTTGGTATTTATTCTTTCTAACTGGGGTTGTGCACTTTTGCACTAGCTGGGGGTTTCATGGAAATAACCGTTCTACTCTTTTGGGGGTAGAGGTTAGTCCATCATCCGTGTACATCTCACCCTCCCCAAAACCCTACTTTCAAGTGGGATTTATGGGGTCAATTTGGGTTGTTTTGGTTTTATTCAATTTTCATATTCAATAAAGTAAGATTCAGTAATCAAGTTGCTTGACATAACTTCATTCGTCCATAGTGACTTATTGCAAATAAATAGTGGCTATGGTTTGGATACACAAAATTCTTTACTTGTTGATATTTTAGATCCTGATGGGTGCGCTCAAACTACATTTTATTTATAGATGTCTAGTTCCTTTAGTTATGTGAAGATTCAATAAACATAAATCGGACAAGACAATCCTTTTCGTTCATTAAACTGTCCCAAAGATTGACTTGCCCCCCATTTGGATGAACCGTGCATCATCAAAGCTGATGGGCCTCAAGACAACTGAGACGCCAAAGATGTGCCCTGGGCCTAGTGACTTGCCTTCAGAAATATGGATTTTATGTTTTTCTTGGAACAAATATTTATGCTTTCAACTTTTGAGTAGCTTCAATTGTTAATTGTCAAGTTTGTTGTATGTAGGAGGATAGAAAGCCTGAAAGGTGTGATGACGGTGTTGAAGAGGTATGTGCTGAGGTTATTCATGTCATTAAAATACGTTACAGCAAACGTAGTGGACAGGAACAATGGGCGAATAGTTGCAACAGCTTCAACGGTGGAACATTCTATAAAGATGTCACTTGAGTGTGGTCGAACATGCAATGCCAAAGCTGCAACAATCGTGGGTGAGGTGCTGGCCATGCGCCTCAAGGTAGAGGGTCTTGAGTCTGGCCAAGGAAGAGGCATTCACGTAGATGTGAACAAAGAGCTGGAGAAAAAAGACTTCAAAAACCGAACAAAGGTTTGGGCTGTTATCAATTCTCTCAAGAACAATGGAATCAAACTCATAATTGATGAGAATAATGACGCATCTCGGCCAGGTTAAAGCTGTTACTTATTAATCTATTCAGTTAGCTTAGTAATATCTGGTTCACAACTGAGTCAACCAGTCCATTTGACTGGTGCTGAATCCACTAAGGTGATTATGGAAGATCTGTTTGTTTGGTTTGTAGAATATAACTTCGAAATTGCTCCCATCTGTCCCTCTTTTCTTTTTATCTGGTTTTTATTGAAACATCAAGAACAATCAGATGGAACATGGTTTCTATACCAAGATCACTTATTTCTTCAGTATATGGAGGTTGAAGTCTCCTTTCCTTAAATAGACCATTAAATTATCCTTTTCACATTTCTACTAACTTATTTTAAATCTTAAAATAATAATAATAATAAAGGATTAGGTAATAATCCCTTAAATCAATAAATTCTAACTTTTTGTTAATTGACATATAGAAAGTCATCAAATCCAATTTAAACTGAACGATCCAATTAGAATTGACTGACCATAATCATATATCTAATTGTAATTGGAGTAGATTAAAATTTCGGAGGACAGTCTAGAATTCAATAAGCCGAACTTTTCCAATCCAATGATTTTTCAATCATCATTTAACCACCATACATTTCCATTTAGTATCTGGTTCCACTACTAAGCACTAGTGATTATCGACCATAAATTAATATTAGACTCTGGCCAACTGTCCGTAAAGGTCAACGCAACCTCTTGACCTCACATTTAAAGGTGCATAGGTCAACATGACCGACTTGCTCGGTTGACCTCGTCATTGTTGACCAGTCAACATGACCTGCACGACTTCCCCTCCTTACATTACATGTTAACTGCGAGTTGTCGGCAAGCTCCAAGCTCGTTAGTTACTTTTTCACAACTGATATATATCCCGCGTATATATAATCGTCAGCTCGTTTTCAAGCTCTTTAAATACAGATTACTCACATCTTATTACACACAACCGAATACTTCTCACTACCACATCACACCTTGGAACAATAAATGGAACATCAAATGCTTTCCTTGTTCTCTGATTTTGGTACTGCAAACAACACACAAAACACTTGTTCTCACTTTGGTTTTTAGACAATTTAGTCCTTGGATCCATCTTCCCGCTATTGACACTCCCAGTCCTTGAGCTTTCTTTCATTAACTTATGCATCAAAGTTTGAGGCCTTGCACAAATTAAAAAGGAAAAGTCCAAAAAAAAACCAACCAATTTTCCTATTTTGAATGGTTTAGTACTTAAAACTTTTCTTTGAATGAAAAATCATTAAACTTTCTCATTTCGAACGATTAACCTCCTGAACTTGTTTTTGAATAAATAAACCATCAAACATTTAAATTTTTGTTACCTACATTATTTTAACTCAAAACGCTACCTGGAATCGGCTAAGAAGACTTTAGAGTAAAAAATACTTAAACCAGTTTTATCGTTTTCAACCATACGTCGTTCAAATCTCTTGTCACCTAAAAGGAGAATCTAAAGAAAAAAAACATATAAAAAATGTGAAGATAGATGGCAGGCAGGGCTGGTCCTGGTCATGTGCAACCCGTGCGGTCGCACATGACATCAAAGCCTAAAGGGGCATCAAATTGTCATTTATTACTAGTTTGGGGGTTAATAATTTGGGAATTGGATAATTAAGCTTTAACTATAAAAACATGCTCAAGGTCTACTAGTGATGAATACTGAATGCACATCGTTGGAAAAAGTTGGAAAGTTGAAAAAGTTTTTGTTTGTATAAAGTTGTCTGTATGAATTAATCTGTTTGTATAAGTTGGAAAAGTTTTTGTTTGGGAGAGTTTTTTCGCAGATGTAAAGAGCTTTTTTTTAGTTGGAAGGAACATGTTTAAAAAAAAACTTGGTTTTCTATATAAAGTTCCCCTTAGAAGTTTACTAGATAAGTCACCTTCTATATCATTAAGCCAAAACGAAACAGTCATGCACAGTTGAGCGAATAAGCTGCTAGTTCCATTGAACTTATTAAGCTATAGATAGGCCCTTAGCTTTTAGTCGTTAGACTTGTAACTTTTGAGTTTTACTTTTTGCTTACTATGACAGTAATTTGGATGTAATTTACTATTTTAGTTAAAAACTAATTATAGTTTTCATTGTCTTTTAAGTCCCATATATTGAAATAAAGTTTCTATTTTGCAAATTTCAATTTGAAAAAGGGAAAACTCGAAAAGAAGGTTGCACGATCTTAATCTAGGATTTATCATTTTATATTTTTGTATTCATGGTTTCGATTTTTATGTCCCCCATTGTATTTTTTTATTATTATAATTAATAAAATCAACATGGGGATGAGATACTCAGCTTGGATAGGTTCTAAACTCTTTCAAAAATCGCATGTTTCGTTATTTCATTGGTTTAAAAATAATAGGCTTAAAGACATTTTTTATTATTTTCGCACATGGCATAAAAAATCTTAGGACCGAACTCTGATGACAGGGCCAACAACAACAATGCATGGTAGAGAGAACAGACAATGATAAGACGATAACGAGTGGCGTGGAAGATTGATATTACGTGTGCAAGGTTTGAATAACGTAAGGTTTAAAAATAGTAAAACTGATTTATGTATTTTTTTTTTACTTCAAAACATTTAAAAAACGTTACGTTTCATAACTAAATCTTGAATAGAAAAATCTTTCCCCAAGCTAAAACAAGGGTGTTGTAAAATTGCTATTTTTGTTATGAACTAAATTACGAGGGGTGTAAAAATGTGTGTTTTTTATTTATTTTAGATACTAATAGACTTATAATTACCAAAAATATGGTTATTGTATTTTTATTTGTTTATTAATTTTAGCATAATATTTTTTTATTTATAAAATCTAATCTAATCTATAATAAAAATAAATATATTTATAATTTAAAATAATTAGAATATATTAAATTGACTGACAATATATATGCAATTTTGGAAGTATTGAAGGTTGCTTGTGGGGAAGGAATCCTCTGTCACTGCCCCCGCGTTTATTTTATTCCATGTACCGTATAATACTAACATATTCTTTTTTTATTATATGTTGCCTTCTATTTAATAAAATTAATTTCATTATAATCAAATTTATTGATCTGATGTAATCAATAATGATCATTTACAGGTAAAAACGTTAAACTTAATTAAAAAGCCATGATTGATATGATCACACAGTTGCGTAAGAAGATTCAAGACATGGAGGTCAGGAGGTGTTGGATAGCTCAAGATGTTGGACAATGGGAGCATGTGTTAGATCAATCTTCGTAGCGTAGATGGAGCATGATGGATCAAGAGGGCATGATCTAATCTGGGTAGCACAAGATAGGAGAGGAGCAACGATGGAAGGAGGATTTAGGAGAGGGTCGAATCTAATGCTAAGCAAGAAGGGCAAGGTTGGAAAAATAAAACAAAGAGGAAACGGTTGAACTTGGACAACGCATCCATTATGGCTTTTCCAGTTCAGCAATTTTTGGCCATGGCTTAATCATTAAGCCGTAAGTAAACAAACATTTCAATATGGTTTACTGAGTAATTGTTATTTTTTTGTAACTCTATATAAATTAATCTTCGAATGTATAAGATTTAGGGTGGGTTGGACACTAGTGACCCGCATGTTTGTTTAATTCTTTTTTTTTAAATTAATTTTATTTCAATTAAATTAAATAAGTTTCAATGATTTGCCGAAAGGAACTTTTGATTTTAGAAAATATCGAAATACCTCCAAAAGTGTTAAATTGACATTTTGACCAAAAATGTAGTTATTTAAGTTTCTAAAAATTACCTATAGACCTCTAAGGTAGTGTTTGGTATGCAGATTGGACGGGACATGACTAATTGTCTGTCCCATATTTGGTACGACTAGGACATGACATGATAAAACTGTTAAAATGACCATATTACCCTTAAATATTGTTCAATGTTATTTTATATCATATAATGATTGTAAAATGACAACAAATCAACCAAAATATATTTTAATTACATAATTTTTATAATCAAGTTTAATACATTAAATATAAATCCAAAAAATTGACAAGTTTAAAAAATCACTATTTTGATTATTTTTGTTTCTCTTTATGGAAATTACAATAAAGTTACTTAACTTTATGTTTTAACTTTTGGGCCTTTATTTTTGTATTTCGTGATATTTTTAGTCCATCTAATATAAAAATATGTTCGAAATAATATTTTGGCACTTAAAACAATATTTAATTACATACAATATATTTTAGAAATTTATTTAACACAACTTCAGATAACATTCATTGATGAGTGAAAACAAGACAATGACCGAGAATCTTACCTGGTAAGAACAAGATAAGGACCAAGAATTTTGCCCGGTAAGTGAGGGCGACGACTTTTACTACGGTAAGCGCTTATCAGGTAAATTATTGCATACAATGTCGTTTTGGTGGACTAAAATCCTACCCGCCAAGTAAATAATAGTGTTAAATTTTATCAGTAAGTAATTATCGAGTAAGTGTTTGGTAAACGACCCCTTACTATTTATATAATGAAGACTTGTATGGCGAGAAACTTGAAATAAACATAAATAAAGTTGCAAAAATGGGTTTATTTATAGATACAATTAGAAATTAGAAACACGCTTCAAAATTATTCAAATAGAATATATATTATATATTTATACTACCTTATAAACTAGATTTATTAAAAGTCTTAAAAATAATTTTTAATACACAAAGTACTATATATTTATTTATACACAAAGTCTTAAAAACAACTCATAATGCGTTAAGTACTACTACTTTATGCATCCAGTCTTAAAATCTCTTAATCTACAATTAAAATAACATATAGTATAAGTTACCAATGTACATTATTACATTTTCTTTTCATGTTCCTAAGATACTTTTGACACCTTTCACTCATGTTTTCACCCTCTCATACCTCTATGTCTTCTCCTTATCTCCCAAGATAAGATTCAAACTCGTATTCATCATGAGTTATTAAAAGTTCTCTCATTCATTTCTCATTCATCTCTCATTCAATTGTTCTAGAACTCTCGATCTTGCTCTTGATCTCTTAATTCTTTGCTCTTGGTGTAAATCAAACAAATTTATGGAGTCGTTTAAATATGTTAGATTTTAAATTGTCATTCAATTTTTTTCATCGATAGACTGTAATTGGAACCATAACTCTTATTTATTCAAATTGTATTAATATGTAAAAACCAAATGTAACTTATATCGTCGTTAAATCTTCTCTAATAAAACCAGTAAAACCTCAAAATCGTTAAAATTCACGGCTCCCGTAGCATTGCACAGATACATAATTAGTATACAATAAATAAAATACATGTCATTAGTCGAATATTATTAGAAAAACAATATAAATTTCAAGACTTAAAAAATTACTTTAAAATTCAAATTTAACACATAAATTAATGGTGGCAATCAAAATATGAAAACGATACCAAAAATAAGTCAAAGCCCCTAAAAACTGCCTCTCATTTTCAAGTGGTACACACAAACCCTTTTTTTAATTTGAAAAACATTTAATTTATTATTTTCAATAATTTAATTTCGACGAGTATGGGAAAAAATATTTCAAATTTCAATAACTTAATGGGGTGGAATCTATTGCATTAGGGTTAAGACAAACGAGAGTCAACTTAGTTTCATGGACCCTACTGATGGTATTAATTAATTAATGAATAAAAAAGAAAAGAACAATGGTCAAAGAGAAAACACTAAAAGTTTGGGTGCCAAATTGAAAAGTGCAAGTGGAACCCATTTGGGTCTAGCGTCCTGTTAGACGTTTTTATTTTCAATTTAATATTTGCATGAGATGCACAAGTGTTCCCTTTTTTATAACATTTGACACCAAACAATTTGGGATGAATACACGTAACACGAAACGATGATATTTAACAAAGTCTATTATTTTTTGTGTATTTTTTTTCATTAACTTGGATATCCAACCCGATATTCGAGCCTACTAATTACAGGACGACCACCTGTTTGCAGATAGTCTGGAGTCACCGTATTTGAATCTCCGTGGCCACAAGGGGATTTTTATTCCTCCTTAGATTTGAACCTAGGACCTCCTGGTACTTTTGACCGTTGTAGTCAAACTTAAACCAATCAGGCATCACCTTTTTTGAAATCTATTACTTTTTGTGTATTTTTAATCACACTATTTTTTTCAACATATTTTATATATATATATATATATATATATATATATATATATATATTGTCAATTTCAAAAACATAATATCATATTATTGAAATGTTACAATTTTATAATTTAAACGATATTTAGGTCTTTTTAATACGATCTAGTACCATTTTACTTCACGTTTTGTACATAATTTTTTAAAACGTTTATGTATACACCATTTAATTTATGAAAACTGATTCATAAACAATAAACTTGGATGAAAATTGTAAATTAAATTAAATATATATATATAAGCAGCCAAAGACGTGTATACAATCTTGTTTGTTGGAAAAAAAAAAGTTCACTCGTAAAGAATGTCGATAGATAAAAAAACGTTTTACAGCCAAATACCATAAGTTCTTATAATTAAAAACGCATATTTGATTGATTTTCAAAGAAATTGAACAAGCCGGCCTATTTAGATAATTTTAAAATTGTCTTTTAATTTTCATAAAAGAAAATGACTTAATACTGATAAATTTTAACGATATCAACAAAATTTTATGTCAAAAAATGTATTTTCCATTTGTTTGAATATTATCTTGAACATAGTTAAAGTTCCTTGTTATGAATTTATATACTAAATATATGGATTTCTGATATAGATCTGTAATTGTTAATTAGACAACAACTGGAATCTAAATTGTATAATGATTTATGCATGTAGATTGTTAAAATACGGGTTTTTCATCTAGAAATTTCTCATAAAAAATTGTATGAACAATACAACATAAAATATACATGCAAATTAAATAAACAAGTTTAAATTATATATAGTTATTATGAATATGGCCTATGATAGTTCCCTGAGATTATAATATCCATACCCATACTTGATTCTTGTTGTTTTCAAACCTCTTTTTTGCCACCACATCCCATTCTGTCACCATTACACACACATACATACACACACACACATATATATATATATATATATTATTGTGGAGAGTATCTCTATATATCTCATGCATGACTATTTCAAGATGACAAAACGCTTTTACATACATTACTTTTAATAAAAAACACATCAACATCTGAACAATGCAATGTGAAGCCAATTTAACAAAAAAAAATGTCAATTTAATCAAGATGGTAAATTAATATAAACGTTAAAGGTTGTAGGAGTATCATGTTAAAAAAACGTCTTTCAATATGATGAGTTTCTTTTTTGTTGTAAACCGTAGATGTCTCTATACCGTCTTGCGCGCACATTAACTAATTCAGCAGGATCCTAAATTAACACTTAATCAAACTTGTACTAGAGTTGATGAGACCCGAACTGAGGTCCCATATATGATAGACTTGAGAAGTAAACTCAAGGAATAATTAGCTGAGTTGAGTTACCCCAAGGATTAATAATGGGGAGTGCTAATGGCACCCTCTTAGTAGGGATGTGGAATCATTGGAAATTGTGCCGTCATAAACATCAAATCAATTTAATTATATTTAATTATTATTATTTAATATATATATATATATATATATTAAGTTATAATTATATATATATATA